ATGAAGCTGGTGAAGGGTCTGGAGAACAAGTCTTCTGAGGAGCGGCTGAGGGAGCTGGGGTTGTTTAGCCTGGAGAAAAGGAGGCTGAGGGGAGACCTCATTGCTCTCTACAGCTACCTGAAAGGAGGCTGTAGCGAGGTGGGTGTCCGTCTCTTCTCCCAAGTAACTAGCGATAGGACAAGAGGAAATGGCCTCAAGTTGTGCCAGGGGAGGTTTAGATTGGATGTGAGGAAAAATTTCTTTACTGAAAGAGTGGTTAAACATTGGAACAGGCTGCCCAGGGAAGTGGTCAAGTCCCCATCCCTGGAAGTATTTAAAAGACATGTAGATGAGGCACTTAGGAAAATGGTTTAGTGGGCATGGTGGTGTTGGGTTGATGGTTGGACTCGATGATCTCAGAGGTCTTTTCCAACCTTAATGATTCTATGATTCTATGATTAAGTAAAAGAAACCAAAGGACAGCTCGGCCCTGTACATAAGGACTTTATTTCTTGGAAGGTTAGAGCTCTCCATGAAGGATAAAAGATACCCCTGGCCAGCCAAGGTAATGCCAGCATCCTAGCCCCTTTAACACCTCTTTGGAACCCTCCCAGCATCAGCTGGCATCATAGATAAGTAATTACAGCAAGACTGACTCCAGGGACATCTGGATCAACAGAGAAGCAACAAGAATGCTGTAGAAATATAGCTGCTTTGCAAAGTTTTACTATGATTATTAACACCCACACTATTGATTACTAATTAGTCAAATCATCTTGTACCTGAACATTTGAAAGGTATAAGAACCCCGTGTAAAACCACATTCAGGGTGCCCCAATTTGGCTGGGACACCTGATGTGCATGAATAAATATTTACCCTTGTAATTCTGTATTTTGGTCCTAGCCTCTCACTAGCAGACATCTAGCAATAGCTTCAGCAGTTCTTGGCAAGAACCTTTCCGCAGTTGACAGACATCTATGAAACCTTTTGCTCTGTAGCATGTACTTCAAAATAGTGGGCGTATCACAAGCAGTCAAAACTATACTTTGAAAACTGTGGAGCAGTACGCACACTGGTGGCACTAAGATGGACACCAGAGGAGATTGTGGGGGCCTCGAAGGAGAATGCATTCAAAGCCCCTTGAACACTCAGTGTTCTCACGTTCGTGAACAGATTCATGAACATTAAGCCTCACAGGGATAACAACCGAAATCGCAGCCAGCACCAAAAATTAACAGTTAAATACACTGGAAAGACTACAATGGCAGTTAATAAAAAGATTAGTCTCGAATTTAAGAAACCTGTTTTATCCAAGCAGGTTGCAAACTCTTCAGTATTGTATAATTTAATAAATTCATTGGTTCCCTTGAAAGTAACTACAACTGGCATTAAGTAACCTAATGCTATTTTATTGCCAGAAGTTTATCTACACTCCTATTCAGACAATAACGTTCTAAACTCTTTGCACTTAAAACCTCTATATGGATCTGTACACTTCAGTACCCTGCCCAGCCTTGTGCAGAGAAAGGGAGAAGTGTTTTCAGGGCAATTGTGTGATCTCTTGAGCCATGAGTCTTCAAGAGTTATGTGCTTTTTCTGCTCATCCCAATATTCAGTAAAACACTTTACACAAAAATAAAGTGTGTAAGATGATAGATAGAGTGGAGGCTTCCCTCCCCACCAAACAGCCAGGAATCACCAGCATTTTGTTTTGTCTGCATCCTTATTTGCTTACACTCTGCATCTCTGGTAGCTTCTTGGATTGGGGCAGGGAGGGGTGGAAGAAAGAGCAGTCACAGAAAGGGCTCGGAGGAAAAGGGAAGTGCAGCAGTGAGGCTCAGCTGCAGAAAGGTTAGGGAGGTCTGCACTAGATGAAAGATGGTAAAATTTTAGCACAAGGAAGAAGCAAGTATTAAGAAACCAAGGTTTGTGATCTGGCAGCCAGTGAAGTAAAAGCTCCAAAACCTCAACAGTTAGAGTGGTAAATAATCCTCACTCTGATCAAGGAAAAAGAATTTAAATTATAACTTATGATTAACAAGTAAATGGAATTTGGCATTCCGTTTAGAAATTCCTTCTTTAAAATAGAATTTAGTTGAAATATACACTTACAATGTGCACAGAACTAAGTCAAGAGTACTCTTGTTTTTACAGCAGTACACCAAAATGATGGCTTGCAGTAAGCAAGACTGTTTTATGTCTGCTGATACTTGTAAGATGACAATTAATTTCACAGCCTGTTTCTTTTACCTTCCTCACCAGAAGTCTTACCAGTTCAATACAGTTTGTATACTAATAGCAAAATCCAGACAAAATCTGTAACTAGTCAGAAACATTAACTGAATAGTTAAATTGACTTTGCTTTTCTAGACTCTTTTTCATCACAGCTTGTTCAGCTATGGCTAAAAAGATTTTTCAGTCTTTTCAATCTGCATACTTAAAAATAGCTACTACAGCTTTTGC